CACTATTAAAAAAAAAAAAAAAAAAAAAAAAAAAGCTTAGATCACTATTGACAAAGGGGTTCTTGCGATGTTACCAGGGATGCTTGTGAAGACGTCCCAATTGCTTAGTGTTTTGCCGTCGGCTAAGTAAGCTCCTTCATACTGAACATACCATAGGAGCACATGTTAAAAGCAGGGCCGGCTCAACATTTATTCGGGCCCCTGGGCGAATTTTTTTAAAAACTTTTAATATTTATAGTTATTAAAAGTTTAAATATATTCTAAAATTTTTATCATTAACATCTTTATAAATTTTATGATAAAAATAAATCATATATATGTAAAATATTTTAGGGCCCTATTCAACTAAAATTTGTAAATATTTAAATTTTTTTATATACAAATATATATGTATAAAAAAATATTGGGCCCCTTAATTAGTAAAATTGGGGGGACACGGGTTTGGATCCGGGGCGGTCGCACCGTTTGTCCCCATGTAAGCCGGCACTGGTTAAAAGTGAAAATTGTTTTACTGAGAATTGAATAAAAAGAAAAAAGATTTAAAAACCTGGTAAGCAGAAGAGGCAGTGCCAAAGAGGAAGTCTTTTGGGAAACTAAAATTTTCGTCGGCGTTAATCTCTCTCAATGAGCTTTGATCATCATACCATTGTGTCGATGACGAGGATGAGACCAAGTTTATGATGATGAAGCAGAGGAAACACAATGGACGCGGAGAAATGTACATTGATAGTTTTGTCTATAGATATATTTTGTTTGTTCAAGAGTAAAGATTATATAAAGAGGATAATGATTAATTGGTTTTGTGCACTTTTAGGTTGATAATGATGTTTACCAATTCAGAGACAGCTGATCGGAAGATCGAAAACTGTGACGGATGAAAAGGGGCAATAGTTTGCAAGATTTGATGGGCCAACCTAATGATTTTTTGTTTCTTGGAAATGAGTAATCTTTTGTTTTTTGATCAAAGGAAATGAGTAATCTATTAAAGTTTTTACTATGCATGAAAATGACTCAAGATTTCCAGGACCGACCAAGCACGCATCTCACAAATGATTGGTAGGTACATCATTTTAGCCATTGTCGTCTTCAATAATAAATCAACCAAATTGTTTTGTTTTTTTGTGAAAATATAAATAAACAACGAATAAACAAACCAACCATATGCTAATAAACCAAACACAAACCAACCAAGCTTGTCTTAAGTTTTATTCACTTCGAAAGAAGATCGTTATACAAACTTAAATTAGCCACAAGACTCTAAATTATGAATTACTTACTCTCTAGCTCTAGGTCTCTTAAATTCTTCTCTTTCGGATGGTTTAGAGCTGTATATCAACCTTAATGCTCCTATATCCTAATCATGTACGCAGTATGATAGAGCCTACTATTTCCAATTGTCATGTAGTACCGTTATTCACCGAGAGAGAGGGAAAAAAATCCGAGCGTGTCTTCCTCTTGTATGCAGAATTTTCTATTGGGCCTGAGCTTTGTTTCTATTTGCACAATTATGCCCAAATGTCAATAATCAAGAAGATGTGACTATCTGAATTAAACATATAGAGCAAATTACTTGCCTGGAGAAACTTCGATAATGTCCTGTCGCATTATCAAAAAAAAAAACTTCGATAATGACCAAAAAAAAAAAAAATGTCATGTTGTCAGGGCAGCTTAGAAGTTAGATCCGCTCGACTGTGCTTTTAATCAGACTTTTGATTGCAGCCACTGAGCCTAGAGAGAACTTAGCGGTTGGAACGGAGTCAACAAGAATCTGAAACGCTACGGTGAGTAGCAAACCGCAGTTACTTGCGTTGGAAGTAACCACTTCGAATTACTTCCACTTCCTCTCTTCCTTCAGCTCCGGCATTACTATCAGGGTCGGTCTTGAGATTTTAGGGGTCTATAATAATTTTTATGTAAAAATAAATTTTGGAGACCTAAAATTTTTTTTTTTGAGGGTCTATATTCTTATAATTTTCTTTAAAATTTTAGTGGTTTTGAAGTGAATGTTTCACTAGGCATACCCCAGGCCGACCTGACTACCATTTACTCTTGTAGAGCCATCAGGTAATTTACGAACCTGGACGGCAATAAGGAGACATAATCTGGATCCCCACCGCTTAGGACAACGTTCATAGCGTTTATCGACTGGTGGTGCATATATCACAGACGATCCTGATACGTCCGTACAGCTTTCTTGTGAGATCAACATGTTGCTCTGTCCTGAGTTCGCACTCTGTTACGAAATCAAGAAGAATGTTCATAACAAATTGTAATGAGAAGAATAAAACGATGCGTTCATTTTCACATGCATAGTAAGATATTATTTCCATAGCAAGGATATAAGAGCATCTTCAACGCTCGTTTCTAAGCAGGTTTTTAGGGACAAAAGTTGGTGTAGGTCCCACCAAAAACGAAAATACGTCCCTTTTAATCACAGAATAATAAACGTGTTTTGTTCTGTTTCGCGGGTCCCACTGACACGCGGCGGCCCGCGATTGGTTCCTTTTTATTTTTTTTAAATTAGAGAAAACATATTTTTTTTTTTTTTTTAAGAAACTCAAAAACCAAATTTAGCGATAATTATGGCCTTAAATCCCTTATTTAAGAAACGTTATTAGCTTTTTTTGTTTAAAAGATAAGACACCGTACGCTAATAGAAAAAAAAATTAAAAAGGAACCAATCGCGGACCACCACGTGTCAGTGAGGCCCGCAAACAGTACAAAAACCACGCCAAAGTAGATCTTTCTTCCGTGACTTTTTAACCGATTTTACTGATTTTGTGGGGCCCTCAACGTTACTTTTCTAAGAAATCACCTTAAGGATCCAGGGATATTGATGCTCTAAGAGATGTCCTTTAGCTTTTTTAGTTAAAAGCTAAGGGACCGTACGTTAAGAGATTCAATTAAAGGACATGCAATAAACATGTTCTTAAAGAGGTTCGGGTAGTGACTTGTTGGAAACTCAAACGAATATTCGAACCCATGCCTATTATAAGCATTAAAATGTCTTCTTATTAGAACATGATCATTTCATAAAACAGCTTTATATTAGATATTTTTGAAACTCTTCTTAAAAAAAATAATCTTTGGGGTTGATTGGTAGCAGCTGTGGTTTAGATTTTTTTGCTTTAAAATTTAAGTTGTAGCTTTAGCTTTAGATTTTAGGGTCATGTAGATCCTAAAATCCACACTCAATATTTTGTAGAGATCGAGAGTTCAATCACGGGAAGACAAAGGATGTGGGCAACGATGCTCTTAATACACAACGATACAATCGAAATTCGGTTGAAAAAATGAACTTTTATTGAATATGGAATTCGTTTACAAGGTGATGAACAAGATCGGAAAAATAACAAAAAGTACAAGAAGGCGAACTACAAATCTATAGAATGAGGTTGATGTGATTAGTGAATAGCTCTAGAGTTTTTGCCATCTGTGTTATACTTCACTCTAGCTTCCTTTTATAGTTTTTTCCTCCTCTAACTGTTTTCGTGACCTCCGGGATCTCATATCAACCTCGAAGAGTCCGGTTCGATGTCGAGTTGGTGATAATCCTAGATGGGCTTGGGCCTCCTCAGATAGGTGCCGAAACTGGGTACAACATTTGTACCCTAATCTTATTCTTTTAAAAGATTAAGATGGCTTACTCAGACTCAATTAATAGAAGGCGGTTTAGCTTCCGTGGCACGGAAACTCGACACGTGTCTGCTCCCTGTCGGTGGACCGTTGGCGTGTGTCTCTAACAGCTACTTGTGGGGTTTTTGATGCAAAACCTAATCATTATCTCCTCGTTAATGATGGAATCGTTTCTTGGTGTCGGCGAATTGCCTTATAAATACAAGAGTCTCTTCTTTCTCTCCTAACTTTTTTTCTTTCTCTCTGGAATTTTCTTTCTTTCTCTCCAAAGTTTCTTGCTTGTGCGACTTTTTTTTCCTTAAGTAAAGATGGATGTAACATTCACTTTTCCTCTTCCGACGACTACTGCTGAAGATCTTGAAGCTTTATACTCGGCTCATGGTGTCGACTGGAACGTCAAGCCTGAAATGGCTACTACAATCGAGACCCCTGAAACCATTCGTGAGGGATTTTGCAGAGCGTATTTCACGTTCTTCGAATCTTGTGGTCTTTTCTTTCCGCTTCGTGCCCCAATTCTTGAAATCACAGCTGAATTGGGTATATCTCTTACTCAGATGTGCCCAAATTTCTTGAGACATCTTTTGGCACTCGTGGTCAGAGCTCGCGAGGACGGTTTGCGCTTCGGTCTAGTGGAACTTCGCCATTTATGCTTGTTGAAAGAGGAAAAATCAAATCCCAGGGACTTTTCTTATGTCGCCGCGTGTAGGACGCCACGTCATCTAGGGAGTCCCGTACCCCGACCAAGATTGGCGAGAGAAGTTCTTCGTCTTGGAGGTTGATTATTCGTCAATGGTTGATTTCGACTTCGCGAGGATTCCTCTACTTTAGTCTGACGATATAGGTCAGTTTTGGGTCTTTATCGTATATACTTCTTTTAATCTTTAATATCTGACTTTTGAAGTTGTTTTATGGCTTTCTAGTGCACTCCGGGAGCTCTCCGATGTCGGACGAGATCTGATGCCTGTTGAGGGCGTTACAACGAGATCACCTGGATTTGTCATCGTTTGACGGCTAGCGAAACCGCACTGCCTTCTTGCTGCCTGACGGGATCGATCAGACTCCGGCGGTTACCAGCCGCTCGACCAGACTTAAGGATGTCGCAGGACCTTCTAATGATCCTCTTTTTTTCTGCCAGATCGGACATGGTTGGTTAGGAGGTCATCGTCCAGGAACCAGAATCGCGTCGAGGAGAACAGGGAACACGACGATTCGACCTTAATCCCTATTCTGGTCTCTGACTTCGAGGGGACCTCTGGAGCGGGAGGATCCCCGATCTCCTTGATTCCCGATTCAGAGGAGAATTCTGCTGCTAATGATCGTAAGCATAGATGGTCGTCGCTTCGAAGCTGAAATATATCGGCTCTGAGTCCCTCTGTTCTACCATCGGCTTCTCTTGAGGAAAGGGAGGCGTATTTAAAGATCTCGGATGCCAACTCCAAGGTGAGTTATATTCTTCCTTATAGTATTCTTTAGCGATCGATCTTGTTCAGATGTTTTTGGACCTTATAGGTTATGGTTGCTGTTGATGAGTTTGTCGCAATGTTTGTGGGTCGCAGCGAGAGAGATCTGGCGAGGTCGTGGGCTGAAGTGAAGAGTCTCGGAGGATCTCTCCGTAAAGTTAACGAGGATCTCAAGAAGAAGACTGGAGAAGCTGCTTACTTGAAGGACGAGTGGAGGAAGGCCCGCGAGGAAAGGATGATATTTGAGACCGAGGTCGCTAAACAAAAGACGATGGTCGCAGAGTTTCTTGCGGAGAGAGAGCGAGACATCCGTCGCGAGTCTCGTGTGATACGTCGTGAGATCGTCGATCGCTGCAGAGAGGTCCTGGCTCTAGTGGAGAAGAAGTGGCTGGACAAGAAGAAGGAGGTCGACGCAGAGATCTAGCTGAGGAAGGTGGTCGCGAATATCGACCTGCTAAATGAGATCAAGGATGGCGGATTGGTCATCGATGATGAGTTTACTTGTCTCAAAGAGATGAAGAAGGATTGTGAAGGCCTCGTCGAGCTGGCTGCCGTTGCGGATTGGTCTGTCTCGGATTTGGATCTCCCCGAGGTTTACGGTGATTCGATTGTTGCAGAATCTTCATCC